TTGTATGTACATATGTATGTATATAGGTAATCATATATGTGTATCTTTATACCTTGCATACATATAGGTATATATATGTATGTATACATATAATGTTGACAAGGCAACGGTTGAGCAGATCAGGGTTTTTATACCAACCTTTCAATTTAAATTAACGTTCCGTTAAATACTCCGTAAGCCTGTAGACTGTGCACGAAATGCAATGAATAATGCCAAAGAAACAATAAGAACAACAATAATAACGCCAAAAGTTCAATGTGATTTAAATTCAACAACGAATGAGTATGATTGAAGAGATCGATGAACGTATCCATCCATTGGATGGTTGAGTGGATTCTTTGTTAACCATCACTACAAATTTACGTACATACATACCCACATATAACAATAACATTGGGCTCATGAGTTCTTCAAATCGCATTTTACGTATTTTTAAATTGACTTTTCTTTGTATGTATGTATACATGTACATATCTATGTTTTTACTCACGCGGAAAAATAAATTAAATCATATTCCTGTATGTTAATACATGTGTTTGTATGTCCATTATTCCATTATTATTAACACACATCTGACAACATTTGAACGCGCTACAACATGCGTACGCAGAAGGATTCAGCTTGTTAGGGCGCTTGGGAACTTGGGAACTTAGAAACTCGAGGGAAGCATATATATATGTATAAATGTACATATTAACCATATGTGCGTGAGAATAATTAACATTTTTGACAGTTCAAATACACATGTGTATGTATGTATGTAGGCAGACTTTTTGTCAATTTGTATTCATTATTAAACGCATTATGAATAATTAAAAGCCCACATTTGGCGACATTGAGCGATTGAGCAATAAATATGTATATTAGGTGTAGTAAAAAGAAATCCATTATTTTTCGAATAGATGGCGTTATTTATCTGGCGTTATTTATCTGCATAAGTATTGTATAAGTCCGATTCAGCGAGATGGTGTTGGAAAGATTATATTTCAGACTAAAAAATCTTTTCCGACAGTTACGTGATTGGTTGATTCAGTTTTGTTTGAGCGTGTGTCAAAGATGGGCATTAGCAAAGGGAAAGTACGCTGTATTTTACGGTTTTTCTTCGATAAGAGCGAAACCGCAAGACAGACGGCTGAAAATGTGAATGACGTTTATGGTCCTTATACTGTGACAGTCCATCAAGCAACTTTGATGTAAAAGATGCTTCACTTCCACTCCGCCAATTGTCAAAAATTTCGATAAATTCATGGCTATTGTAGAGTCAAACCGTCATGTCAAACCGCACTGTTTTGATTGCCCTAAAGAGCTAAAGTTTGCGGAAAAAACCGTGTTTAACCATTTGTATAAAGACGGACAATAAAAGAAAAAATTAAAGCATTCAATTTCATGCAAAAATAATGGATTTCTTTTTACTACACCTAATGTATACATATATACAATGTATACATATAAATTTTTTTAACATGTGCTCTCGTTTTATTGTTAAAGCTTTCGACCAGCCGGTCTTACTTGCCGGAATTCGTTTGAAACTATATTCAAGCGCCATCTTTTTATTAATTATCACATATTTACTTATGTAATTACATACATATATAATATATTTATGTACATATGTTATTTGACAAAGTGGACAATCGTACGCACTTCTGCTCAATAAAGGACTGTGGAATTTTTATTATGGAGACAAATAAGAACAGAAGCATGTAATATATTTATGATTATGTGCAGCTGTATGTATGTATGTTTGTATGTATGTATGTGCATACATAAAACTTAATTTATTAATTTGAAATGGTATAAAGAAATGTCACAATATAATGAATGTAAACTGCTTTATGTAGATAGTCAATTGCTTGGTAGATTATGTGACTCCGAGATTTGATCCCTGCCATAAAGACACCAATGGAGAAATAGAAATCAGAAACAGTTTTTCCTTTTACCCCTTCAGTGTTAAGAAAATTGAATGGAAAATATTTTATTTGAAATTTTTTTTATTTCAGAGGCTCCTTGGGTTTCACAGCCTCAAAAACTCAAATATTTTATTGTCTTGTTAATTTCTACATCTCGAAAATATATTAAATATTAAGTAAATATTAAATTTCCAAATAGGACCAAATAAAAGTTTCGGTGATACAGCCTTAAGAAGGGTGGACAAAGGATTTTTCTTAACTACAACTTTTCATAAATAAAATATGTATAGGAAATTACCCCAGAATTATCATTTTGTACAAAATAAAATCTGCCAAAATACAATTTTCACTATTTTTTTTCCTTTATCCAAATTCTAGATCTAAATTTCCACTGAATTGCTTTAATATTTGCATTAACTGAAAATACAGCCAATGACAAAGAATTAGCACAATTCCAAAAATTTTAAAAATTTATTTAAATAATGCCATTGCAAAAGAGCGAAATGAGATAACTTCAATTAATTGGTGTCTGATAACCCAAATATAAAATTATATGTGTCAATTACATGTTTGTATCACGCTTGGTGAAATCCCTTGTGCAAATTTTTCGTTTTGAAGCCTTTTGAGCGTGAATTAGGAAACCAAATTTCCGAAGGTAATTTCTTTATAATTTTCCTAATTATATGACAATGCTCTTGAGGTCTGCCCAAGGTAATCATGTGCCATATATTTTCAGCCGCTGCTCTTCATACAATAATGGTCGCTAACGAACTTTTGAGCGGCAAGGTAAAAAATACAAAGCTAATTTACATTTTTCCTAGTTAAAAAGCGAATAAAGATCTAGCTGCTTTTAGCTGGAAAAAGCTTGAAATGGCAATACTGCAAATGATGTACTCGTACATACATATGTATCATTTTCCTAATAATATTTCTTTTTTCCTTGATCATTTTACAGTGGTTTTAGCAAAAAAAGGTTGTTTAGTATGTTAAGCAATTAAAATTAAATTTTTAGGTAACAACCAATAAAAAGAAGTTGTAACTGTATTTTTTCTGTGGTGAAGAGAATTGAAATATATTAGTGATATGATATGATGAACTTCATAAGTTTGATTCTCTCACAAAAGGATATCGCAAGTGCACTAAATCTATGTCCATAGCTGTATATATCCACACCCCTACATACATTTTTAAAAGATCAACAAGCTCGCCAGACGTCTACAAAATTATTTATATTAATAAATCACTTTTAGCTGAAACCGAAGTTTATTCTTTTCGAAAGTTCTTGGAAGTATTAATTCCGAAATGTGAAAATCTCTAAAAGTCAGTACAGTGGAAATAGATATCAATCGCCTAAACATATGTATCTATGCACGAGTATGTATGTATGTTTGAAGATGGGCGAAGCCTTAAATCAGTGAATAAATCTGAATTATTTCATAAGATATTTTTTATATTTTTTTTATTCAAATTGTGTAAGATATTTAAGCTTTAAATTCAGCACTTCTTGTGAATCCTACATTTATAAACATACATACATATACATATATGTATAAAAATTTGAATATTTCACTAGAAAAATATTGCGTGATGCATTTTTAAGTTATTTGATATACGAGGTGTGGCAATTAAGGAATGAGACTGATTCCATAAACACCGTCCAGTGCGTTTCCATGCTTCGCCTGGATGTCCTTAATCGACTCAAAATGAGTTCCTTTGACCACCGATTTTGTTCTAGGGAACAGAAAAAAGTCACGGGGTTTCATATCGGGCGAATGGAGCAAACGGCGATCCCTTTAGAGGCAAAATACTGGACACACTGAGGGCGGTTTGGCACGGTGCGTTGTCGTGATGACGGATTCAGTTACGAGCGATGTCTAGGCGTATCTTGTTGGCTCGTTTTCGCATTCTTTCGAGTACTTGGCGATAGTAGACTTGATTTACGGTTTGCCACGGTGGAAGAAACAATTTGTGGAATTCTTCGTGTCAGTCCGCACCTCGATTGGCATCACGCTCCGCGCCTCGTCTTCCACGCTCCTCCTTAGAAACTTTATGCCATCGAAGTACCTGGCCACGACTAAGAGCACTATATAATCAGTCTCATTACTTAATTGTTACACCTCGTACACACATACATATATACATACAACACTTTGTGATTAATAAAAGGAGGACTTTCGGATAAAACGATGATTTGCATAAGAATAGTGTCTTATAGGTTGCGTCATCAGCGAAATCAAAAAAGATTCACTCAAGTAAAAGAATTTCGGGGCGATTGAGGAAATTTAAAACAAACTTAAGACATTCTTCTTCTCTGTGTTTGTGACTACCTGCGAAGCAAAAGAACAAATAAACGAAACAAATTTATCAAGTTAAAATTTTGGTGTATTTTCACACTATAATCTATTAGATTTTCATCGCACAGATTTTTTATAAAATCTTTGGAAATTAACGGGGATTCTCCGTTAGTATGATAGATACAAAATTTGCCTCCAGTGGCGACTTGTACTTCATAATTTCCTAACTTGGCAGCGTTAAATCACCCTAACTCAAGTGGATTGTTCATGAAAAAGCTGTTATGTCGTGAGTTTTGGAAAACGTGTTCGAAATATAATCACGCAGTCTATGGCCTATATATCCGAAACCATATTCTAGATCATCATATTCGCAATCATCCATCTGCTTTCGCTCTGCTCCTTCTGTTTATAGATGTATTTGTTGTTGCAGAAATCGCAAAAACAAGAGATTAACATGTTGGCGCCGGGGGTCAGAGAGACAATTTCTCTTCGCCTCTTTGCTTCCAAGGCCTTACCTTTTTCTGCCCGGGTATATCGCTGATGTATGCACACAATTTCTACTGGACAATTATAATTAAGTAGATATGTACGAGTACATTTATACACACACTATATAAACATTTATATGCATATTTCCTGTGTGATCCACGAAACTTATATTTTTATTTAACTTCGCCTCTTTTTACAGGCAGTTGTTGTTGTTATTATTATTGATATTTCATTGAAATATAAAATAAAACAAAACGCAGCTACAAACAAACAACCACACATACATACATATAAGTTATATGACAAAATGACCAAAACTCTGAGTTGGGCATTTATAGCAGCTGCGCTTTTAATATTCTGGCAAACCGACAAAGTTTATGCAAAACTAAGTGTAGAAGCTCCAACTGTCAATGCACCACATCGAACGCACGAGTCGTTGGTGCAGAAAACCGGAAATCATCGAGCACATCATCACAATCATCATAAATCACAATTTTTAACACAACCACAAGCACAACGTAGACAGTTACAACAACATGTACTACCATTTGACACATTCTCACCTACAGCCGCTGTGAGTGCAAATGTCCACAATAAAACGCGTTCAACGCGCCTGCGTCGTCTGAACACCAGAGAGTACAGAGATTATGCGCAACGCCGTCTACGAAATCATCGTAGCAACTCAGATTGGAATTATCACGTTTATAATGTTCAAAGCAATACATTTGAATCGCCATCTAGTCCCGGTAGTGTAGTTGTAGCCGGTGGCAGTGGTAAAGGTGACGACAATACAGCCGATGTGGAGTTTATAAGTCAAAGTGGCACCGGCCTGAGCGGTGGCCCTAGTTGGGTGAATAATCGCCGTAGTTTCGGTTTCTTGCCCTCTCATACAACATCAGCTCCACCGACTGCAAATCCTCCTCCGCCATTAGTTCCGGCACGACGTGGTTATGTGACAGCAGCGCCACCTGGTGTAGTCAACTCGGATTTGCCACAGGCCACCGACGAGCCGAATGAGACGAATAATTTCGATTCGAAGGAAATGGAAAAGTAAGTAAATGCAATAAATTAATTAATATTATTATGGTGTACACAAAATTACTTTTTATTCAATTTTAAGTAATCCGATTATGATAGGCCTTAAACAACATTAGGCGCTAACTTTTCAATGCATTGTACACTAGCTGAAAATAATTTAAGGATAAAACAAGATAAATTAGTAGGGGTGTTGGGAGGTGATTAGGTTCATTGGGATCTTAACGTGTTCAATGACTCATTTATATATATATTTGGCACCTTGTAACCGCTGCATCGATTTTCAGCCGAGCTCCTGCTCCAATTGCATCTTGATGTTTTTTTTTTTGTTACAAATGTTTTAAGGCACCTCCAAACAGCCGATGTATTTTTGTGAACAGCTTTTATTTCGTGTCAGGAAAACACTCGGAGGGCTTGGCAATTAGACCGCAATTAGAAAAATGAATGTTAGATGTGGGTCGAATGTGGACTTGAACCCTGGCCTTCAGAAAGGCAGTACACAATGCTAACCACACGAACGGTGTGCTTGTAAAGCTCTGTGACTTCTTCAACCTGCTGCTGGTTCTATGTCTGGAATACCGATGGTCGACTATTACTTTTAAAAAGACACACTTATCTATATTTATAGCAGAGTTGGGATTCAAAAAATGTTTCAATTTATTTCCCCGTTATATTTATCAAGTTTGCGCGATGTTTGTTGCTTGATCCTCGGGGCCCGAAAACTAAAGGCCACAATTTGCAAACTATTTTTATTTTAATTCGTTGACATTTTTAGCTTTCGTCCAAAATTTAGAACTTCATTTTAGTAAACTTGATGAATTTACTACTTTAAATAACGATATGTATGTATATGAAACATATGTATATGAAACATAGACATTTTTTATTATCATTTTAAAAACAATAAAATTTTAAGTAGTCTTCAGTAAAATATTTTTCGCATAATGTTTAATTAATTGTATACAAAAAAGGCTAGAAATATTCGGATATACGGAACACTCACTTTTTCGGAAATACATACAGATGTACAAACATATACACCATCATATAAACAACTCAAGCATTGCCTGAAGGTTAAAAAGCCAATAATAGCAAAACAACATTTTAATTTGTTCAATATTTTTTGTGTAAAGCAACAAATTGTTACAATTTGTTCAATGTTCATTGTATTTTGACACTTCAAAATGCTCTTGACTTCAACAACGCGACAAAAGCAATGTAAACACGCTCCAAATGAGGAGTAATCGTGTCTAAAGATCTCTTTCACATAAACTTCAGCAAAAAAGTACAAATAACAACCGAAAATAATCAGAAGTGGCCAGACTTCTTCTGAAAAGAGTTCATATTATTATCAATTGTTTATAGAGTTTCGTAAAATGTTTAGTTCATTGCAAATCAGCGTTTGCAACGAAACTCCTCCGGCACGACCAGACCGCGTTTTATGAAACTTTGTATGCAAATCGGATAAGTATGTGAATCGGCCAAGAAAAAATCGTATTTACGGTTCGATGTACTTGAAATTTGGTACATACAATCTTTTCCGGAAACTATACCAAGGAACGAATTAATAAAATATCTAAACATTTAGAAATTTTTCTCGAATGTGGCCAGATTTGCTCGGTTCACTCCATAACCCGTTAGTTGGCATCATAGTTTGACTTGAGCTACAGCTTTATATGTAGCATTACCCACCTCTCGCCCAACCGAAAAATCCAACAGACCGGTGACCGAAAAAGAGTGATCGCGGTTACACTTGCCTCTTACTCTAAACAACTACATGGGAAAAAAGAGAAGGAATTTACTAAATTATTTAAAAAACTCAGTAAGTACGTTTTGATACCGAAAAGCGAGTCAGAGGAATCAATTTTGGCGAAATATGCATCAAAGTCATTGCACAAATATCCAAAAGGGTCGTGCATTTCAAAGTTCGTTCTGCATGGACAAAATGAAATGCGTCTAAAGTGTCTTGATAATCTTGAAGGGATTGTAAAGTAAAATTCGCTAAGTACGCCAGTTATATCCCAAAACTTAACAATATATGTACGTGAATTTGAGAACTGTCACATCAATTAATTATGCAGCAAAGAGAAATGTTGTATCAAAGTGAGAGAAAAAATAACTTTTGGAACGAAATATTTGGTTCATTTTTTAATACATTTCCAATCTCACTCAATGGGAAAGCTAAACGGCTACTACCATTCCCCGTTCCCATGATTTTGAATCTATTCTAATAATTTATATTAAGATTTGAACTTTTTATGTTTTATTATCATACTATTGTGTATAAAAGTTTCTACTGACGACCTGTGGAATAGAGAGTAATCAGCTGGAAAAAGTAAATCCTTGCTGGTTTCTACGGTAAAAACGTCAGTAACGTCTTCGTCCAGCGATGGTAACTTTTCATTTATTGTCCGATTTAATAACGTTTTGTCAGATAAGTCGCTAAGTTTTCGGTTGACTCGGCTGTTAGACTCCCATTCCGTTCATACAATTGACGTATCGCACAATTTTCTTTCGAACGATTGCCGATACGTTCAGGGGGGTTGTACTTCGATCCCAGAACATTGAATAACAAGATAAATAAAAAATAAAAATAACTGATTTTACATGAAATGGTAAAGCCTTGATGTTTCGACTTTATTTCAATATATTTTAGGTCAATTTTGACGATTGCACTTTGCACAATTGTACTTGAATCATTAACGGTAATCAAATATACATACATTCTTAGAATACATTATGGTGCCCACAAACAATTTTTTTCCCTAAACAAAGCAAAAATCTCGCAGTGGCATAGGAGATAACATCAAGATAAAATATGCACAAAATTCCGCAATACTCAAGCCCACCTTCCATATAACGGTAAATTTGGCACAAAGATCTCAATAACTCAGTAACTAATAGCGTGTTGAAGTCAGGGAAGTCAGTGAAGTCAGTAAGCTAATTGTGAGAATTATGACAAAGTAGTCACCTGGGCCCCTTACTCCCTCTTATATTCATCAACGACCTTCTAAACGTTGTTCTTCATTATCTTTTGTTAAGCTCTTTAAATCATTTCGCTCTGTTTAAGATAGAGAGGCAATTCAATTCAGCGAAAGAAATTCCTATTCCGCGTTAAGGAACTCGAACTGAGAAGCAATTAACAACCACCCACCATCACTAACCCATCTTAGACTCTTTCGACTCTCTTTTCTGCATCGAAAACTTCTTCCAATCAATTCATTGCAGTTGATAAGCAAATGTGTAGCTGTTTATGCGTCAAGTGTAATCGCGACCGTCCTCCACGATTGGTCTCGGGAATCTACAAGAATAATAAAATTATTGTTTGCTATTTCCTTCTCTTAGTTAATTTTTTTTGTCCCAGAATCTCGATCCCATAAATAACAGCGATGTACATAATCTTCGGTTCCAACAAAACGAGGTGTCGTATTGCTTCTATTTTCGTTTTTTTTCTCATTCTTAGAAGTCTTTCCTTAAAAACTATATGTTTTTAAAATAATGTCTACCCTAATGTCCGTTTCGTGATTGCGCTTGAGTTGGAAACTAAGAATGGTCCAGTTTGTATATATGAATGCAAAATTTGAAATGACTGAAGAATTTAATTTATCGAATTGTATTGTTTGTTGAGGTACATTTGACAAAGGCCTTGACTCCAATAAGCCACCATGGATAAGCGCGAAATTTTGTATGTGAAAAAAGAGAATTACATAGCACAAAACATAAATTCATAACACATACACCCATATATATATGATGTAATAAACAGTCACTTTGACCCCAAACATGACTAACAAGTAAAGGAGAGGCCAAAATGAAGTACATGAGAATGCACATGCGCGCATGCTCGTTGTCGTTCTGGCGAATTTTGCGAAATCTTTGCTGGTACATAAATACATTTGCATTGGACATACACACATAAGCCATATATTGTACAAGAATACCTGTGAGGAAACGGAACGAATTGAATGGAACATTTTCCAAAAAAAAAAAATATTCCAAAATCCATATTTTAAACTAAATTAACTTTACAATACAAATACAAAATTCAGCCAAATTTTTCACCACGAAATATAGGTCTTTCTCTTCCCCTGCTTCCACCGGCGAGGACTGCATCGAAAATTTTATTGTGTATTATACATCCGAACCACAAGACCCAGCAAGCCTAGCTGTGGTCTCTTGGCTTGGGATATCGACATGAGAATGATGAGCTACTTTTAGAGTTTGACCTTTGATTTTCATTGCCCACTCAGTCCAAATTAGCACCCGTTGGCAAGAGTTATTCTACATTAAATTTCAAGGCTAACATTGTTGTTGGTATTAATCCTGGTTTCAAGATAGACGAAGTTATCTACAACTTCAAAGTATGATTGTCAACAGTGACGTGGAGTCAAGTCACGAATGCGATAACAGGATGACAGGAGATATTTCATCTTACCCTCGGTCTCCACCAGTCCCATGCATCTCCCTTGCTTATACAGTGTGGAGTAAACCGTGAGTTCTGCTTTGTTGAGGCCAATAATGTCAAAATCATCGGCAAACGCCAGCAGCTGTAGGCTCTTGTAGAAGGTTGTACCTGAAAGAGCTTTTGGTGGTACTTAAAGTCATTTTACACAGCCGCGTAAGTTTTGAGAGGACACCAAACTCAGGCATACCGGCAGGCAGCTCATTTCGTGCTATCGAAGTCAGCTTTAAAAAGGACGAAGAGATGCACGGATCTGTTCCAAGATTTGGCGCATGGTGAATATCTGGTCAATGTTGGATTTACTAGGTCTCAAGCCACACACACCATTATAACTTTTTTATTGACTTTTCTACTTCTTTCCTTAGTTTCGTGTAAATTTATTTCCCCGCAATCTTTTCCTATACGGTAAGCGACCCACTGCATCGATTCTTGCCAAGTGGAAGTCCAACACACAACTATAATTATCTTGAAGCGTGTTCAAAATAACGGCAAGAATCAAGTTTTGCTTTGTCATCGATGTCTTAACGCGATAATTACTCAGCATGATTGGCAC